ATAATCTCGGGTTCTTTTTTCCCTAGTGATTAAGACCTTAGTGCATTTGAATATGGGTCTCTATGGAATGTCGACCCCACCGACGATCATATGAATGACATATTGGGGTTCCTCCTGTTTATTTTTCTTGTTGGCGTCCCTTTCTCTGAAATGATTCTTGGCTCGATCGCTGAGGAACTCTCGAAGGTGGTCCTCGTTGAATAGACGGGCTACCTCCCCCCTTAATTGCCTACAATCCTCGATTTTGTGACCATGCGTGCCATGATACTTGCACATCAAATTTGGGTTTCTTTGGGAAGGATCAGTTTGTATGGGTCTGGGCCACCTAGTATCTTTGATCCTTCTGATTGCCGATACAATACCCGATGCATCGATGCTAAAGTTATATTCCGATAACTGAGGTGCCTCTGTGGGATCGACATACTTGTCAAAACCACTTTTGCTCATAAGTCCACGAGAATTCTGTCCTCAATCACTTCTTCAATCGCTCCGGGCGAAATTACGTCTTGAACCATTGTTCCTTCGATCTGCGGTATATGGTTGATATTAGTCTCTGTTCGATCTTGGCTCCCTGTCAACGTCCTTCTGGATTTTAACTGCCGACCTGTTTGGATGTACTAAACTGGAAGGGGCTCCTAATTGGTCGTCCTCGACCCTGATCTTCGATTGATATCGATTGTGCACATCTTCCCAGGTTACAGCTGGATACTCGATCAAATTTTATTTCAACTGACATGATGCTATCGAACTCCGCTCGTTCAACCCTTGGGTGAAAGCTTGAATGTCCCAATCATCTGTGACAGGTGGCAACTCCATGCGTTCCATTTGAAATCGGGATACGAACACCCTCAGCATTTCATTATCCCTTTGTCTTACCTTGAAAAGGTCCTATTTCCTCGTTGCGACCTCTATGGCCCCGGCATGTGCCTTTACGAAAGAATCTGCTAACATGGCAAATGAGTCGATGGAATTTGGTGGCAAGTTGTGATACCAAATCATTGCTCCCTTCGAAAGGGTCTCTCCGAATTATTTCAACAGCACAGATTCGATTTCATCATTTTCTAAATTATTACCCTTGATGGCGCATGTATATGAAGTAACATGCTCGTTGGGATTCATGGTCCCATTATATTTGGGTATGTCTTGCATACGAAACTTCTTTGGAATAGGCTTCGGAGCCGCACTTGGAGGAAACGGCTTTTGAACAAACTTCTTCGAATTCATCCCTTTCAAGATTGGCGGTGCCCCCGGTATCTGGTCAACTTGAGAGTTGTATGTCTCCATTTTTTTAACATTGGCTTTGATTCTCTTCTCCCCCGATTCAATTCTTTTGGTGTGCTCCTCGAGTATTTTCATTACCGCAGGATCAGTCCCCGATTCATTACCATTCGACCTTTCTGGTACTGGCTCAGTACGGCGAGTAATTTTTGACTTTACCCTATTCAGAGCTCTACGTTGATTTTGTAACTGAGCAATAGCGGCTTGCTAAGCCTGAAGCATCTCGAATATAACTTGGAGACTGACTCCTTCGTCTTCTCTGCAATGTGCTCCTTGGTCACTAGATCGGCCTTCTCTGCGTACGCTCCCATGGAGACCTGCGCCTAGGTCCATATTTAGAGCAACGTGCGAACTGACATCGACTGGGTTGGCAACCGGTGCTCCCCCGAAATTAGCTTGTGGCACCTCGACTCCTAGAGCAATCACATTTTTATTTTCACCATGGAATCCGAGGCCATTGTCACCGTGTGTGAATGTGTTTTGTGAGTTTGACATGTTTTAACCTGAAAGTAAAGATACTTGACAAGAACAAGCGTAAAATAGTGCGTTTTACCAGAATCAGTACTGAACAATCACTATTATCCTTAGCCCCACGGTGGGCGCCAAACTGTTTACCCTAAAAATTGAGTAACAATTAAACTTATATTGTGATTTTAAGGATATGTGATTTAAAAGAGCACCAATTGATAAACAACGAATTAAATAGATAAATTGGACAATAAAATAAATCAAACCGGTTTGCAAACAATGTCTCGACCTCGATTCGAGATAGTCTCAAGGTTAGTTAATAAGAACAGCAGAGGATGAAACAAGCAATGATGAACAGTAAGTAAGACAAAGAAATTAGCGTATATGTATATTCTTCTCAGTGAATCATGGTCTTACAAATGATTGGAACTCCTCTTTATATAGTAGAGGAAACCTAATTATAGTATGTCTCTAATTACAGAAGAAAATCGTATAAACAGCTAGTTAACCACTTCTGATTTGGTCTATTCCGAGATTCACGCCATGATCCTTGACCAATCACGGATATCCGTCCCGAGATTCACGTCGTGATCTTTGACCGGTTACTGATATCTCGCCATTCTATTATTATGCTCCCCTCGAAGTCGGTCATACTTGATCTCGATTATTGCTAGCCTCGGTCTCAACGTACACTTCGATCTCTAGGCTTGATGTCTCATCTTCGAGCTCGGGTCAGATTTATTACGAGGCTACCCCCGATGTAACTCCATTGTCTCGATCAAACAGCAAAATCGGGTAGGCCCGATTTTGACCGTATACATACATACTGAGGTGGATCTATGTGAAAGTTGTATTATGGGAAAGCAACATAGAAAATCTTTTCCAAAAAGAAAGTCTTGGAGAGCAAGTTCACTATTGGAACTAATCCATACAGACATTTGTGGGCCAATGAAGACTCCATCTTTGGGAAGCCAAAGGTACTTTATAATTTTTGTTGATGATTTTCAAGAATGACTTGAGTTTATTTCTTGAAAGAAAAATTCAGAAATATTTGCTACTTTCAAGAGCTTTAAAGCTTTTGTTTGAGAAGGAAAAATGTTGCAACATCAAAACCATTCGCAGTGATAGAGGAGGTGAATACTTACGTAGATAATTTGAAGAATATTAAAAAAATTGAAGGCATTGGGAAGCAACTTACAGCAAGGTACACTCCTGAACAAAATGGTGTATCTAAAAGAAAAAACATAACCATTGTTGACATCTACATAAGACTTTTGCTAGGTTCTTTTGGAGCACAAAGGAAGAAGGGAGAAGCAGACACTGGGCTTCATGGAAAAATCTTTGCCTTCCTAAAGAGGAAGGGGGGATAGGTTTTAGGTCCTTAAATGATGTCTCAAGGGCACTGTTTGCTAAACTATGGTGGAGGTTTAGGACCACAAAATCTTTGTGGTCTAATTTCATGTGGAATAAGTATTGCAAGAAGGAGCCACCAACTGTGGTGCATTTTAGGGGAGGGTCTCATGTTTGGAGACAAATGCTGAATGCTAGGGAAGAAGTAGAACATGAGATCGTATGGGAATTAAAGAGTGGAACAACTAATATTTGGCATGAAAATTGGACTGGATTGGGTGCACTTTATCATGTATTACCTGAAGACTTTCCAATCAATGAAGGTCTTCAGGAGGTGGCAGAACTGCGGCAAGGGGAAACATGGGATGATCAGCTGCTAGATCAAACTTTCAATGAGGAAATTGCAGAACATATAAGGCTAAATGTGCACTATGAAGGCAGTGAGGGATATTGGGATAAGCCATACTGGATACCAACTCCTTCAGGCAAGTTCAGTGTTAGCAGTGCTTGGANGGAGAAGGAAGCATTCAACTTATCTTGTTGTAATAGTTAGTTAATTAGATTTTAGCTTTTCTATATTTTTTAATAGCTAGTGGCTTCATGCAACTTCTATTTTGATTTTTGGTTTGGACATCTTGTAAGCATTGGACCCATTTTTGGGATTTTATTTATATATTAGCCCTTAGGCAAAAAAAAAAGAAGGACTAGGTGTTCCATTTCACTCCGAAACCCACCCAAAACGAAAACCAAACACCCCGGCAAGTCACATAATCACAATATAGCATAGAGAAGGCAATAAATAGGGGATCGGGGCTAAAATACTCAAAACGACCGACCGGATCGTTACATTTAGCTTGCTCACAGTATATGGTGGAACTTAATAGAAAACCTTAGAAATTTTATCCTCACCCTTTTATACAAAAAGGTAAAAATCCGTGTAACTTGTACCATCTTAAGTGGCTTAGTGGAGAATAAATGACTAAGCAGCTGTACATGCAGTCAAAGTAGAGCTGATTATTCGGCCTTTGCAAAATAGCTCAACCGTAACCTTTATTTACTTATTCTGTATAATGGCAATTGTAGTAATAATGAGCTAATTCATGGTCAAACAATATTCCTTCGAGCTAACAGGATGACCCCAAGCTCCTCAACTGCCTCTTATTAATAGTAGGAATAGGAAAGTATAGTAAAGTAAAGTATGCATGGAGATAAGAAAGTCAATTATAGTCAACAGCCTCCGCATGGCATTACTCTTCATTTCTACGACCGCTCACCTTACTTCATACTATACTTATGGCAACCTAATCACCAAATTATAATAAAAGAAAAAAGCAAGAAAATCCCTAGTATAAAGCTCTATTTTTTTATTTTATTTTTTTTAAACCCTCCCAATTTAGGAGGATCTATAGTGCTTCCACACTTCCCCTCCAGATTATAATAAAAGAAAAAAGCAAGAAAATCCCTAGTATAAAGCTCTATTTTTTTAATTTTTTTTTAAACCCTCCCAATTTAGGAGGTGGAGGTGCTTTTACCAACTTAGCAAGCCTCACTTGCCTATATTTTTTATTTATATATTAAATAGGAGCACTAGCTGATCCTTTGTTTTTTCCTGATCTAGGTGACCTTTCACATTCAAGAACGGTGATTCCAAAATTTGCGATTAACTTATAATCTGCAATTTTTAAATTTTTAATCTGCCTCTTTTTTAATTTAATGATATTTTAATAGGAAAGATGATTTTAAAAGATGTTTGAAAGAGTTCTTGCTAATCTTCATAATGTTAGTGATTATGCGTATCTAACTTGGCACTATGGTGGAGAACTCCTCAAATACATAGCCCTGGTGAGAAAATGATATATCTCAGCGTCTATTAATGCAATGGATGAATATGCTACAAAGCCATATTGAATATTGGGGCAAGCTATCGTTAGAAAAAACAAGTAACCTTCAGTCTCCAGGGAAAAGAAAAAAAAGAGAAATCTTAAAAGAATTGTTCAACTAATGTTAAAACTGTTACAATAATCCTGATGCCGTGATTATCGCTTATCTTTGCTCAATTAAGGGTTCCCCTTAAGGGTTTTTTTGCCTATGTATACAAATGTACAGAATTATACCAGCAAGCTTCAAGCACTATCTCCACCAATCTGGCACTTTCAGCCTCCTATTTCTATGTACATCAAGTTTTGCAGCAGGAAGCTTGTGCTTCACCTGCCTCCATATCATGTTTACAGCATCACCCTTCTTTGGAGGGTACTGGTACTCAAAGTGATGGGTAATGTTCTTAAGATAGCTCCACATTTCAAGCCATCTAGCTCTTGAAACGCTCCTGAGTTGATCAAGCATGTATCCTTCTTTCTTTGCCTCCTGACGTGAGAAGAATATCGAAAACTTGGTGTAGTCTAGTTCATCCTCAAAAGGTAGCTCAATTTTATCACTCACAATTACAGGAACACAATGGCTAACTATAGCATCAAACAGGCGGCAAGATGACGGTGTGTCACCTGCTGGGTTTAGACAAAACTTCGAAGAACGCATCCCGTTTGTTGACTGACATACAAAGGGAAACTTATAAGTAAATGTGAAGAAGTACAGGCAAAAATAAAAAGACATTGATGGAAGGAGGAAGGGGATCAGAGTAAAAAGGAGCTAATCACTGAAGAGGATGAGTCGTCTTGAAGTTAATCCGATTAGTTAAGTGAGGGACTATTTGCTGAATGTGAACTGCAGTGGTACCTACTGAAAGTATTAGGTAACAGAACAAAAAGGCAACCGATACATCAGGGAAACTTAAAACTGTCAGGCGAATGGAAATGGCCAATTATGTAAGTATCTAACATATGACATATATACACATCGGAATATGCTCTCATATTTTCCAGATGTAACAACTAAGAGATACCACCTGATTATACATAATCACTTTGAATAATTAAACAACTTACTGCATTTACACCTTCCCCTGAGATTCCTGTTGCTTCGAAGACAACATCTTTTTGACCACTTAACATGTCTTTCAATTGCTGACGGTCTTTCCCTTCCTGCATCATACTAGAGTCAGAAAGATTTTTATCATTTAAGAATGCATAACTGATTTATTCGTAACTGAAATAAGCATACATCTTTCCTGTCTGTCCTCCCCCGGAAGAAAAGAAGCATTGTACGAGACTCATATGGGTCTGAAATGTCATCAGCTACAAAAGTTTCAATCACATGTGCATATGGGGCCACTACATCTTTCCTCAAATTAGACACAGTTGGACGAGGGCGACCAAAATCTGCGACAACGAAGATAGCAGCATTCACCTTCTCCCGATAACGCTTGAAAGCATTTGGATGATGCATTGGGATCACATGATCCCGGCCAGAAGACCTCTTCCAATGTTCAGATTTTTGTAAGAAGTCAACAATTTCAGCCTGTTAGAACAATAAAGTCAATGCAGGAAAATTATTATTACAGGGAGAATACTGGAATAACACTAGTACTAATATGCTTCAATTCCAAACTAATTGTATCAGCTATATGAATCCCTACACCACCAATATACAAATCTCTACGCAAACTACAAAGACTCTTGGAAAACACCAATCCCAATGTATGAGTACCAACACGATAAGACCTTAAAGTTGTTATCGTGTACATGAATTTTTTGTCTACATTGTGTTCTATTCTTTAGAGGTGCTCGTCGATGGGTATGGTACAGTTTTTAGATATTTTGGTTCGATATTTTCGGTATTCGGTTTCTTAAAATGCTATATCAATACCATATCTAATTAAATTCAATATGGCTCGATTTTTCTCCTTTTGGTTTCGGTTTATTCGAACATTGGTTTGTTCGGTTTTGATAGAGATTGAAACTTTCCTTTTTGTCTTTAAGAGGTAAAAATAATCTTGGAAAAAAACACATAATCAAATGAAGTACTTTCTGGAACTTTCAATTTTCTTGAGAATGAGTAGGAAAGGCCTATGTGATCATGTATGAACTTTTGAACTGGAGTACCATAAAATCTGAAATAAATATAGGAATATGAAAAATAATGCAAAACAAAATTAAGTTGAACTAGCATTAATGATCTGAAGTGAATCACATCTTTTACAATGAGGAAAAAGAGAATTAAAGATAATTCGATGTTTTAATTTAATTGCTCACATCACAGTATTCCATTGAGATTCATCGACTAATGACATGAGAATGGCACTAAGGATAAAGCAAGTAAACTTTTAGGCAATTTACATTTTTGTTATAATCTAATATATGCATTTCAGTACGATATTGGTAATTTGATATATTTTTTCTAAATACCGAATACTGTACCGAATACCAAATTTTTTAAAAACTTAAACCAAATACCACACCATAATACCAAATGCCGAAATCTTCAGTTTCGGTTCGATAATTCGGTATATACCAAATTATGCACACCCCTACCATGGCGGCATATAGAACTTGCCTATCACTTGTGGCAAGTATATTCTTATGGTAGAGCTCCTCCATTTTATCGATCTTATTCCAAATCTATGCATTACACTCAGTGTTGTCAAAGGCGTGCTTAAGCCCTGAAGCGAGGCTCAAAACATGTTGAGCGCTTCGCCTAACTTTGTGGGTCTGTAAGACATACTTTTCCTTACCAACGATTGTAATCTTGAAAAGGCGACATTTAACAACTGATATTTCACTTTATCTTAAATGTTTTCCAAATTTTTTGTCCATATATTTGTTATTCATGCTTATAATTATTGAGTTTGGACTACAAATACATATTTTTACTTTTTCTCCAGTTACGCCTTTTATCATTAAAGCCCACGCTTTATTTGCGTTTTGTACTTAAAGCCCCAACAGACCTTAGAGTTTTTTGCGTTTTTCGCCTTTGATAACACTAATTACACTTCATCTATCCTTCCATCAATAGGAATACTGAGCCTAAATATCCCAACTACCAATTCAGAATATTGAGCCTAGGTATATGAATATCTACTTGGGATATTGAGCCTAGATACCATAACTATCTTCATTCAGATATCATATTTTGCATAATCTCACTTCAACTTTATTCTTCTTATGGGGCAAAACATGCAATGGATGTGTGGTCTTGCTTACTTATCCTAAAACTATTAGGGGTCGTTTGGTTCAAAATCAAGCTATCGCAAGATTATAATCCTGTGATTAAAACCGGGACTATAACCTGGATAACTTATCCCACCTAATATGTGGAATTAGTTATACCAAGATTTTAGTATAAAAATAATACCGGTTTTAGCTAATACCTCCAATCAAATACAGGATAATTTTAATCTCAAAATTTATACTGGAATAACCCACCTAGTCCCTTGAACCAAACAGCTTACTTTCTTGAGAATTTCCCCACAGTGCAAGCGTTTGGTTAACTGAATTCTCGCTAATTTTGTCAATAATAATATCATCTGCAGATAGTATGCACCATGGGACATCATCTCGTGCACATAGCTAGTTCATCCATAAGTAGCCCAAGCAAGAGATAAATAGATCTTTTAGTGTAAACTGACAGATTTAAGAAGCTCCTTTATATCTTGTTGGTCTCACGCTTGTAATATCTCTTTAATACACATCCTTTATGAAATTTATACAACACTTCATCTATCCTTCCATCAATAGGAATACTGAGCCTAAATATCCCAACTACCAATTCAGAATATTGAGCCTAGGTATATGAATATCTACTTGGGATATTGAGCCTAGATACCATAACTATCTTCATTCAGATATCATATTTTGCATAATCTCACTTCAACTTTATTCTTCTTATGGGGCAAAACATGCAATGGATGTGTGGTCTTGCTTACTTATCCTAAAACTATTAGGGGTCGTTTGGTTCAAAATCAAGCTATCGCAAGATTATAATCCTGTGATTAAAACAGGGACTATAACCTGGATAACTTATCCCAACTTCTATGTGGAATTAGTTATACCAAGATTTTAGTATAAAAATAATACCGGTTTTAGCTAATACCTCCAATCAAATACGGGAAAATTTTAATCTCAAAATTTATACTGGAATAACCCACCTAGTCCCTTGAACCAAACAGCTTACTTTCTTGAGAATTTCCCCACAGTGCAAGCGTTTGGTTAACTGAATTCTCGCTAATTTTGTCAATAATAATATCATCTGCAGATAGTATGCACCATGGGGCATCATCTCGTGCACATAGCTAGTTCATCCATAAGTAGCCCAAGCAAGAGATAAATAGATCTTTAGTGTAAACTGACAGATTTAAGAAGCTCCTTTATATCTTGTTGGTCTCACGCTTGTAATATCTCTTTAATACACATCCTTTATNGGGAGGGGGGAGTATTTGATATGAATTCCTTTCTTCTCCAGCACCTAGCACAGACCTTGACAATTCATCATATGTTTTCTCTAAGTAAATAGATATTTTGTTTTTTAACAAATCTCCCCCAATCTATTGACAAAAACATAGCATCTGTTGTAGATCTTCCCACCATAAATAACAATTTGTTCTTTGCACCCTTCTAATATCCCTAATGCTCTATCATTCTTTTTTCTCAAAGTGTATTCTATGGCTCAGAAGTTTACTACCACGATCTAATTTATAAGAAAAAATTATTATTACCACAATCTTTCACACATATTCAATATCTCTTTGTCTATAAGCCACACTTTGCATATTTCTTTTATTCTTATATAGGAACAGAAGGTACTCTTTCTCTACTTATTTTGCTTCTTTCCACTACTTCATATAAATATTAAATAGATAGCTTAGAAGATCATAATATTTAAACCTATCTAAGGCACTTTAGAACCTTTATTATATGATCTGAGCAACAGGGAATTCTACTCTAAGATTTTTTATGGCATCCTTAATTTCTTTACATCTAGTTTTATGAGTGTAGCTAAGTTTCTCTTGCGCAGATATACAAATACATGTAACATTATCCTTGTAATTTGAGTTAAGCAACTGATTAAAATAACATTTACATCTCTCTTTGATCTCACTATCGCTTGTCAAAACTTGTTGGACATGGCTTGTCAAAAGTTGTTGGACATTGCTTTAATACAATTAACCAATTTTAGATCTTTACTCCTCTTCTCTAAGACAAACTTGTTGGACATTGTGTACTAGGATTTACTTTCTTTCTCCACTTCCCCAATCCTTAATTTTTTGGAACAAGTCACAATGTCACATAAGACTTTACCTGGCTTGGTCAATAACCTTTTTACCTTCTTTCTTAACTCCCGTTATACTCTTTTTTTGGAGAAGGTAACATGTTGTATGTATTAAACACAAAACAGTACATGGGTTGTACTGAAACCATATATACAAGTGAGCAAAAGAGAGTAAACCAGGAACCTAATGTGTCTAAGATAGATACAGTATCCTCTGGGTAGATCTGGTTACACCAAAAACAAAAAGGCTTAATACAGTTAAGTTTGATCATTTGCACTGTGTTGTTGTTGTTCTCGAAGCTTCTAGAGTTCCTTTCTTTTCAAATTGTCCACCAAATGCAAGCAGGGACCATCCTCCATCTGTTTTTGTTATCTGCTCCAGTTCCAGCTTCTTCCCAACTAAAGTGAGCTTCAATAATGAAGATTAATGAAGATCTTCCATAACTTATCAGTTATCCGACAGTGCAGAAATAGGTGACTAACTGTTTCCACTTCGCTTTCACAAAGAAAACATCTTGAGCAGAGAGTCCACTTCCTCTTGTTTAAGTTTTCATATGTGAGCACAGCTTCCTTTGCCAGTAACCATGAGAAGCATGCAATCTTATATGGTATCTTGGTCTTCCAAATATGTTTCCGGGGCCAGTTGGTGACTTGAGGTTTTGGTTGGTTTAACATTTTGTAGGCTGCATTGACACTGAATTTTCCACTGCTATGTCCTTGCCATCTCAATGTGTCATCTCCATTCTGAATTCCTGTGATGTTGTCCAGTTATTTATAGAACTCAATCATTCTATTTATCTCCCAATCATTCAAGTCTCTTCTGAGTATCAGTACCCAACCTTGAGGTGACCACATTTCAGCTATAGATCTTTGTTGGTGATGAGCTAAAGCATATATGTTAGAGAATAAATCCTTCAGAGCTCCATTCCCCAGCCAATTATCATTCCAGAAGGATGTCATGCTACCATTTAGCACTCTAATGGAGACTTGGTTTTTTAGAGCCGGTCATAATACCCTTATAGACCTCCAAAGACTAACTCCATAAGTTGAGTTAACTGGTTTAGTCATCCAGTTGTCTTCTACTGGTTTAACTCCCGTTATACTCTTCAAAGGCTTCACCATGTTCTGACTTTATCATAACTTCCCAGACCAGCAAAAGACGGCTCAAGCCTACATTCTTACTAACTTGACTAACTCAACTGATTCCCAGACCAGCAAAAGACGGCTCAAGCCTGCATTCTTACTAACTTGACTAACTCAACTGATTCCCAGACCAGCAAAAGACGGCTCAAGCCTGCATTCTTACTAACTTGACTAACTCAACTGAAAGGGACTCCCACCCACCTCACCAGTTGAACTTTGGTCCTAAGTACTACTATATGCTCAGTCAGTTGACCTTTTAAGTTAAATGATTTAGCTCCAAAAGAATGTTACTTTAATGTTTCTCTAGATCAATTACCCGTTAATACATCACTTCTGTTCTAGCAGTATCACACATCTCTTTGATCTTACTATCTCTTGTCAAAACATTTTGGGGTTCGTCTTAATACACTTAACAAGGTTTAATTCTTTACCGCTCTTGTCAATTCTGTGTACTGGATATACATTTCTTTATCAACTCCCTGCATCCTAAGTTTCACATAAGACTTCACCTCGAGCTTCACAAATAGCATTTTTTACTCTCATAACCCTCTTATACTATTCAATCGCTCCATCATCTGCAACTTTTTATATTTTCATATATCAGCAATGCAAAAAATCTGTATAATTTACTAACTTGACCAGTCCAACTAGCAAGGGGCTCCGACTCACCTCACCGGTTATAATGTGCTCCTAACTATTACTATATGCTCAGCCAGTCGATAATATTTTAGATACATTAATTGGATCCAGAAGAATGCTACAAAAATGTTTCTCGGTACCGATTAACGGCGAATACACCTTCTCTTCCAACACTATCATGGTCCTTCGCAAATATTCCACATTGAACAAACGTAACGTCACTCTGTATCTTTGCCTAGTCATTAATAAAAGGTAATGACTTCTTTAACTAACAATCTACATGTAGGAGAACTTTATATAAGACCAAATAAATGCATAGATTGCTTTGCAAATTTTATTGGTTCTAAGTGTTCCTTCTCTAACAATTTAACTTTGTGATGCATTTATCATTTCTTTAACCGATAAGTAGCAATACCTCACCACTGGATCAATGAGCAATCAAAAGGCTCTCGAGAAGTCCTTTTAGTGACCACCTCCTTGAGAGAGAGTCAAACTGCTCGAGTGCCCCATAAATTTCAACGTTTAACCAAAAAGGAGCATATCAGAGTAAACTCACACGGATCCCTCTTTATTGGAATACTTGACCTACTTGCCTTTTTGTCTGTCCCAAAATACTAGTCCTATTTTCTTAAACAGGAAGCTTTTTCATTTTTATAAAAATTCAAACTAATATAAAATGTAAGATTTTGTTTAACACACAATCTCATCAATGCATTCCACTTTTCCATGTTTTGAATTATTGTTGTACACAATATTTACCTAACTTCAGTACAACATATACTCAAACTTCTCTTCATCTTCATAACAGTCAAAATAAGTCAAGTTTCCAGGGTGGAAGGAGTGCGAGATAAGCAAAATGTGCATAGAAATTGAGTGCTAGTGTGCTACCAAACGTGTAGTTGAATATTCACATAGCCAACTTTTAAGCTGCGCTACAAATTGCAAGAAGCACTCTCTACTCCAGTTTCCCAGGTAATATTGCCAAACTGTACACAGTCAGGGTCAAGCCTTTTAATGGATTCATTAACTAGAATTTGGATTTTTAATAGCTACAAGTTTCCAGGTAGAGCTCGCTTAAGTATGAGCTGTAATATTTATCTTGTTTACTAAGACATTTAACTATTCTTTTAATAATTAAAACCACATGAGTGCATAAAAAAAGAAACTAGGAACAAACTGCAATTCCTCAAATTAGGAATGAGAGCTATAATGTTCTTTCTTGTCCTATACTTATGAGGAACCCACTTGTTGCCAATAATAGAAACAAGAATAATGAAGATCATCTTTCTTTTCAATTAAGTACATATTTATAGCTGAAATATTTGACCCCCGAGTTAAAAGCTTGCTAATCTTTTTGCTTGTTCCTTACCAATAATATACTAAAAACCGATCAATCAACTTGAACTCAATCTCAAACTAGTTGGGTCGACCATTTAAATCTTCTAAGTTTTCCGACCAATGTAAGTCCTAGTAAGAGAGGTTCTCTAGTTCACAATTATCCTAATTATCAAGGAACACTCACCACTTATCTCTAACCAAACTAATGAAGTGTAACAACAATGACTAAGAATTCAGGAGAATTACAACAATAAAATCATTTCTAAAATGAAATTCAGAGAACTAATTTTGAAGATGCGAAACGAGATATGGGATAATGCCAAGCATTTCTAACAATTCATTCCTCATTTAGCACTGAAAACATACATATTATATATATATAAGAAAGAGAGATCACACCTGCAATTGATCATCAAATTTGACCTCTGAATCATTGCCATGTCTATAGAAAGTATTATAACTCAAGGAAGAGAAAAAGGGCACGAAAAACACATCAGCGGAATCCGGATCCAAAACCCTAACAGCCTCTCGGGTGGGCCTATTTCCATTTTCATCATCACCTGCATAGAGCAATGAAGCCAACATCCAATACTCCACACTATGCTGTCTCCTCAAACCCGTGGATTTGGGCCACTTGGGCAATGTCTCAATCGTCACAGGAGCCGCATTATAATGCGAGCCCTTCAACAAACCCACATTGTATTTCATCTCTAGATCGTACATGTATACCTTGAGAGGCTCCGATCCAGTGAAACAGGGCTTGGCTTTACTGGGTGAGGAATCGAATAGTGAAAAGCTTGATCTGTAATCGATTTTTCCAGTATAGAACAAAGAAGCAACGAGAAACAAAATGAACACTGCCAAAATGAGTAAACTCTTACTCATTGTATCTTTCACTTTCATTTTTGTGTGATTTGAAGTTTACTGAATAATTTGGAGCATGGAAATGCATGAAATATTCGAAGAGTGGAATAAGAGGTAGATTGGATCGTAAGGAATGAAATATTCACCTTCTGTACATTTTTGGGGGGTTTTAGATTCTCTGTTGGTCTTTTGGGATATGGGAAAGTCTGAGCTGTGGTTTCTGGAGGATCTTGGTGGGATGTTGAGGCTATTATTATAGCACTGAAAACAAAATGGCAAATTGAGATGGAACTTGTTAGCCAAAGCGCCAAGCCAAATCCAACCGACAAACCAAGTCAAACCGGAAAAACAAAAGACTTGTGGTTAAGTTTGGTTTGATTGGTTTGGTGTTGAAATATTTACACTCTAAATCAACTACCCCAACCACATAACCATAATTGGCCCATATCGCAAATTCTTACTCGGTTTACCCCAATATGTATATAATTTGAAAAGAAAATTTCGTGTTAACAAGGTGAAATCTAGTTCTAAACGAGATCCATGGCGATTACCAAATCTAGTAATTTTTGCTACAGATCGACGCCCGACGAGTTCACTTTGGCGAATCTATGGCTGCTTATTGACCCCACACGTGCATGCCGCTACTGTAAAATCCCCTCCTTGGGGATTTAGCTTTGTTATATGTTACTGAATTTTTGATCTAAGATTCTCTTAATATCTTTATTCCCTGAGGATTTGACTGGAACTTTGAAGGAGATATTAGAGATGTGTCCGTCTATTGGTTGTATCATAGATGGGAAGGATGCTAAGCATGTGTAGTAAGAGATTGTTGATTGTGATGTTGAGATTCCTCTCGATTGAAAGGGAATTATGAACTGATGATTCTGTTTGCAGGAGGCTATGTTCAGATTTTATTCTTAAAAGTAATTTTATCTTAATCTATATTATCTGATTTTGGGATGTTATCGAAGATAATTTTGATATAATTATTGAAAAATGTTATTTTTATTTTGTTTTCACGAAGTGTTTTAGTTTTGTTTTAGTAGTATGCTATTTTATGAATTATTTTTTGCTGGAAAAAATAAATGGAGGAATTTATTACTGATGCATTGATGTTACAAGAGAGATTTAATTGATATTTAATATTATAGAATTTGAGGACCGTTACTTAATGCAAAAGATAGTGTAGCAGTTTGTATAATGGTATAAATTCTTTGTATACAATATTATATACTTTTATACAAGGTTGATACATTATATAATAAGTTTATAATATTGTATTATAATTTATAAAGATGTATATATCCTATTGCAAAAAAATACTAGCTATGCGAACGAAAACTGAAAAATATGGCTAGGTAAGTGCAATATAATGTGTTGGTATATAAATAATATTTTATACATACAAAATAATCATTAACATCTAGTTTGTAAGTATTTCTAAATTTTTCTATAGTTTTTAATGTTTTGAAACATTTATTTTATGTGTGGGCTTGTAAATTTTCACTATCCAGTAAGTAGATTTTACTTGTACATTAACCCAAATCTGAAGCTCAAATCAAAACTGTCACGACCAAAAATTCCACCAATGGTCGTGATGACACATAACCCCAATGAGCTAGGTAAGACAACAATCATAATCATCTAAAGTAAGACAAACAAGAATAATCCACTATCAAGACATAGATAAAACATAAATAAGTCTCAAACTGTCATCCAAATATGAAAATATAATACCAACATCCTAAAATCTGATGGTACGAAGTCAAGAGCAACTAAATAGAGTACAACTGAGTCTCAAAACATAATAATACCGTCTGAATCAAAAAATAATAAAATGGATAAAAAAAAGGACTCCATAAGCTGTGAATCAGGAATGCCAGCTCACCACAAAATCTCCAATCAACCGCTAAGCTCCCTCCTAAACACCGCTAGGTCCAGTACCAAGATCTGTACCCAAATATGTGAAAGTGTAATATGAGTACAAAAACAACATGTACTTAGTAAGTATCAAGTCTAATCTCAAAGAAGCAATAGCGAGATTTTGCCAAAAGGATGATACTCACCTCCACAACCTGAACACTTCATAATAGCATAAAATCACAGAGTTTAATTAAGAATAATAAATATAACATCAATGTGTACAAATCAGAGATAAGATAAGCAAGATTCTCAAAACAAGATATCCAAAACACAATTCAATTTCCATGTTCGCATAATATGCACCAAGTAGCACCTATAAGAATGCTTCTACATGAGTCTAGGATGATCATGCATACTCAAGACTCAATCATGACCAATATTCAGCAAATCTCATGTGCTCCAACATGATCCGGCACGTCCCATGTGCTCCAACACAATATGTGCATAACTTATGCCACATGGCCTAATGTAACATGAGTAATCACCTGACTCGAGAGGGACGAATCCATATCCAAGTGTAGTACGAAACCTCATTGTACAATAACATATCAATATCAAAATAACTGCATGATATAAACTATCGTGCCATAATAATATCGATATCAATCCGCTAATAATGTCTCAACGCGCCATAATTATATCAATATGTATCAACATCTCCATCTCTAAATATTTATGCGTATGTTCAAAATAAACTAATAAAATGCCCAAGGATAATAAGTAAAGATGTGGATATGTGTTCATGACATAAAGTGTGACCCATGCCTAAATAAGATGCCATAAGCAACACATGATTTTTAGCATAAAAAAATCAGCTCATGTAGTCATACAATCAAATAAAGCATAAGTTAAGTAGAAAAACCAACCAAACAAGGCATAAAGAAGCCTANCCCCTCCCCAATATCACGTAGCATATAGCATATAAGTTCAATTTGTAGAAATTCCCTCTTAACAAGATCAGACAAGAGACCTCCTCCCGACACCGCTTCAACCCTCAAATATTGCTTTTCCTTTGAAATACTCTTCTAAATGATCAAAATCTAACCAAACAAAACTTAACGGGGTCAAATAAATTTAAAAAAATAAATTTCAAACAATAAAATTTTAATCTTTAATCAAATCTCAAAAAGTCAACAAAAGTCAATCTGGGAGCACATGACCAAAACCCGAGTCTAAGGTCAAATTCAGTTGATCTATAATCTATGAGTCCAAATATGTAATTAGTTTCTATATCTGAGTCCAAAACAGTGTTCAAAACTCAATATACACTCTCTTAAGTTGTAGATAATAATTCTAAATTTCACTCTTTAATTTTATATTTTAGGTATAGAAATCTCTGAGGAATCAAGATATATAATCAAAATTAAGTAATAATTACTTACCTCAATCTTGGGGTAAAAATAACCTCAAAAATAGCCTCCTCCCAAAGTCCAAATCTAGAAAATAGTAAAAACGAGCTAAATCTCAAAATCTGAAAATTAAATACCCCTACCCGCATTTTGCTCTACGCGTTCACGACCATGACTGTCGCGATAGAGATGCACAATGTGGCTTCTGATCGTCCCTCTAAGCGATCGTGTCTGCTCTCCTATGATCATGAAGGCTACTGGCCTGGTCCTCTATGCGATCGCATCAACTCTCATACGACCGCGATTCAGCCCCTACCAAAGCTACGCGATCGCGAACCTCTCTACGTGATCACGCAGCATAAAATCCCCCAACCCACTCTCCACTAATGCAATTGCTACACAAGCCACGTGATCGCGATTCACACTATTGGCAGCAGAAAACCAGCAATCCAACTCAATCTGAAATGCTCCGAAACTACCCCAAAACTCACACAAACTCTTCGGAACCCCGCCCAATTATCCTAACAAGTTCGTATCTATACAAAGTTGTCCAAAGGCTCAAAGAACTAAAAATAATATCAAAACCAAGAATCACGTATCAAAACAAAAATCTCAAACTTTCTTAAGTTCAAAATTTCAACGTTCGTCTAGAAGCGTCGAATCAACCCCGGGCTACCAGAGATCAGGATCGAACATACATACAAGTCCAAAATCATCATAGGAACCTATTGGAATCTTCAAAATACAATACAGGGTCATTTACCCATAATATTGACTTCGGTCAACTCTTCCAACCTCCAGCCTCAACTTAGGAACTAAATGTCTTAAATCACTCTTGAACCTCTCGGAACCCAAATCATCCATCCTCACAAGTCATTAATCATCAAACCGACTTACAAGAAATCTCAAATAAGGGAATGGTGTTCTAAAACTCAAAACGACCGGTCGGATCATTACATTCTCCGCCTCTTAAATAAACGCTCGTCCTCGAACGGGTTTATAAATATACCTGAACTACTGAAAATGTGTGATATTTGCTCCCCATATCTTACTCGGTATCCTAAGTAGCTTGCTCGCTCGGTTGCCTCTTCCACAGTACCTTCACCAAAGCAATCTGCTTTGACCTCAACTTTTGAATCTATTTTTCCAAAATAGCTACCGACACTTCTTCATAGGCCGAATTTTCATCTATATGCACTGTGTTTTAAGTCCAAAATATGCGACTTATCTTTGTTATACCTCAAAAGAATAGAAATATGAAATACCAGATGAACCCCCGATAGATTAGGAGGCAAAGCAAGCCTCTACTAGACTCTACTAGACACGGCTTGTAGACTCCCTAGGATAGAATTGCAAACAAGACTCTACTAGATACGGCTTGTAGACTCCCTAGGATAGAACTGCTCTGATACCACTTTTGTAACGACCCAAATCAGAGGGCCACGACGGGCACCCGGTTCCTTACTCAACCGAGTAACAATATAACGTATCTTTCTTATCACACCATCATGGGTAAATGGGCCAGAAGGGCCGTCATCATATAACCGGAATAAAACAAAAAGGAATACTAGACATAGGACGGCCCAACATGATATAGAAACTTATACATGTGATATACAGGCCTATAAGACTGACATGATCATTTGTACACTCAAAACATAGGACGACAAGGCCATACAAGTATCCATAAACATGACATCTATCTACAAGCCTCTAAGAGTAAATAAACATCATAAAGGTTGGGACAGGGCCCCGCCATACTAATCAATATATGTCTAAATCATACTGACCAAATAGGCAACTCTGGAGCAAGTGGAGTGCACCAACACCTTTCACTGAGCTGATAGCCTACTAGGAAGACTCTCAACCTGTCTATCGGGACCTCCGGGCATGAAACGCAGCATCCCCAGGCAAAAGGGATGTCAGTAAAAATAAAGTACCGAGTATGTAAGGCATGAAAGCAGTATATAAAAGATATGAAAGAAACTTGGAGTAAAGAACTCAACCTGTATGTCTGAATAGCTCTGTCAATCATGAAACATTTATAATGTCGTGCATATGCGTATAAATGTCACACCATGCATAGCTATATGCGTACATAACATCATCAAGCCTCTGAGGGCATCCCAACATATCATCTCGGACTCTGTGGCCGAAATCATCAACGTATACCGGCTGATCAGGTGGTGGTGCGTATATAAGGCCATAACCTTTCCCCATACCCCATATGCATATAATATACATGTATATAATGTCATCTGGTTATGGTTAAATATACGTGTATAAATGAATGCAATGCATAAGAAGTAAGTCAATAAGATCTCTCGGAATGTCATAAGATCAATATGCCTTCGCTTATTATCACGAAATAATCTTTAACGACTTAAATATTTTCCGAGACCCATGAACAGACGATATGATAGTAGGACATATGGGGAATCAAGAACATAGGCAACCTTAGTATGTCTAAGAATAGAATCATTTGTGAAAATTACATGCTTGCTCGTTTCGTTGTATCATGTGGATCACGCCAAAAGGAAAGAAGGGATAGCCTTAACATACCTCAAGTCGTCTATTCAACTCAACAAATAGCTTATGAAAACTAGCACCCCAACCCTATAATAAAGAAATACATGTACAAC